AAATTCTATTCAAAACTCATAAAAAAAATTTAAAAATTTCGAACATATTTTTTATTTAAAATATAAAATAACAGGTGCAAAAAAAAAACTGTTCCGATCAACCAGCCAGATGATCGGCCGAATGTCTGGGGGGACATGCATGAGGATGACTGGGTAGACATGTTTTCAAAAGTGGATGTGGAATCAATTTTTGAAAATTCTAACTAAACACAGCACTCAAATCAAGGTGTGGAATTACGTTTCAAAAATATAACCAAACACAGCCTTTGATTTTCAAGTAGCTGGGCACCAAAACCAACTAGACCTAGTTTAATCTGTCATTATTACTTTTTTAAGGACTTTAAGGGGAGATTATGAGTTCAACTCTTCTTAGGAGAGTTAAATTAAGAGAGTAAAACACTTGGTGTTTTGCAAATAGTGAAAATGGTAACTCTCATAATTCTCATTTAACAATTAATAATTAACTTTTATTGATAAATTAAAAATAAATAAATAAATAAAAGAAGTTAGCACGACACCAATTAGTATCTCCCTAAAACAAAGGACTAAAAAATAATTGTATGGAAAGAAGTGCATCACTAGCAAACATTCAATGATTGGTTAATTTTAGGACATTTACACATAACTCTTAATTTATGAATTTATATTTTATTAAATTCTAATTAAGATTTTTTAGATTTTCAAGTCTTATTAAATTGTTAATAGTTAAAATTACCTTTTAAATAATAATTGTTCATAATTTATATATATAAAGGAACATTATGATTTGACATTTATTTCAATTTTTAAAACTTTAAAATATCAACTTTCGAATTGAAAAAATTAAAAAAAAATTATGCGCAAAATTAAAAATTTTGTGTCTATAAAGGAGCATGATAATGGAATATTGATGTACAAAATTGAAAAAAAAAAAAACTGTTTAAAAATGAAAAAACTGATAATATTCTCAGTTTTAAAATTGAAAAAAATTAATAATCTTCTCGATTTTATTAGCTAGTTGAATCAAACCAATAAGTAAAAGGATAAAAACGTTTAATCTTATGTTCTTTTTTTTTTTATCAGTTAGTGAAACAATTATCTAAAATATTACTATAAAAAATTGATAATATTCTTAGTTTTACAAATTAGAAAAAAACGTCTAGAGAATTTCTAGATTTTTCAATATATAGAATAATTCTTAAATTTTTGAAGATGATCCCAAATTATTTAATATAATAGTATATGATCCTATTGATTTCATTATTAACTAATATAAATTTATTGATGTTTCTTCCTATTATTTTTTTTCCTTAAAGTATATGTTAAAATTTCTTTTTTACTAAAAGATTTTTTTTGCTACACTTAATTTTGTCTCCCCTAAAATAAATTTTTGATTTCATCCAAACCAAACAAATTATGGTAGTGTTTGGTTTGTGTTTAGAATTATGATTTGAATGCAGAATTGTATTTTGAGTTTGTAACTTTTGGAATTATGATTTGAAAAGAGAAAATTTGTTTGGTTATAAGTAACCAGGCCATCCTTATTATATCCATGCTTCTCTGGTTCGGTTTCCATACTCTTGAGCATGT